TCTTGGAACCCGGCAGCGATTACGTCATCGAAATACCGTTCTCCTACGTGATAACGGCGGACATGACCGGATTGTACCTCGTCACCTACGAGGAAGGGGGAGAGACGAAGCACATGGCAGTGACAGATTCGGAACCTCACGGCGCGAGACGAATTTTTCCTTGCTTCGACGAGCCCTCGCTAAAGGCGGAATTCACGTTGAGACTGGGACGAGCGGAGACGTGGGTCGCACTGTCGAATATGCTGCTCGTCCAGACGACGCCGGACGACGAGGAGTCCGGGATCGTCTGGGACTCGTTTCAGACGTCGGTGCGAATGCCGACGTACCTCGTCTGCATTGCAATCTCAGAATTCGGTTCGAGGGAGGATCTCGGGTCGCGAATTCCGTTCAGGTCTTGGGCCCAGATGGATCTAATTCCCTTCGGAGAATACATTCTCACCCAGGCCCCGGAAATGCTGCAGGAATTCGAGGAAACCTTGGAGGTACCGTACTCTCTCCCCAAGATGGACCTCATCGCCCTCCCACAGTTCTCGGCCGGAGCCATGGAGAACTGGGGCCTCATCACTTACATCGAGTCCTTTCTCCTCAGCGACACGAGCAGGGACGCCGCCTACACGTCGTACGTCATCAACTCCGTCTCGTCTCACGAACTAGCCCACCAGTGGTTCGGGAACCTGGTAACCTTGGACTGGTGGACTTACCTCTGGCTCAACGAGGGCTTCGCGACTAGTTTTCAGTACATGGGGATGGGAGGACCGAATCCCGGCTGGGATCTGGATCAACTCTACTTCTTCAGCGATTATCAGTTGGCACTGATGGCAGATTCTTCGGAAGATTCTAACCCGGTCACGATGGAGGTGGAGACGCTGTCGGAGATCTACGGTCTCTTCAGCACCATCACATACTCCAAGGGAGCTTGCCTCGTTCACGCGATGGAGGGTTTTCTCGGATATGCCGTCTTCTTGCAAGGGATCAAGGCCTACCTGGAAGACCTAGCGTTCGGGAACGCTGCGAACGACGACCTCTGGGCGCACCTTCAAACTGCAGCCGATGCGGCGGGAGTAGATCTCGGAGGCCATCGCGTCGAGGAGATCATGGAGAAGTGGACGCTGGAGCCCGGGTATCCCTTGCTCCAGGCGGAGAGGGACTACGCCGCGGGAAGCGTCGCGCTGAAGCAGGAGCGATTCTTCTCGGACCCGGATGTCATCCCGGATCCCGAACGGAATCCGTGGATCCTGCCGATGCCGGTTCAGACCGGAGGGTCCGAGACCGTGGAGCTCGTCTGGTTCTCGGACCAAGAGGCCGTGTTGGGTTTGGAGGCCGGACCCGACGATTACGTCCTCCTCAACGCCAACTCCATCGGGTTCTACCGAGTCGAATACGACTCGCAGAACTGGGAGTTGCTGGCCGAGCAGCTGGACCGCGACCACGAGGAGATCCCGGTGTCCAACAGGGCCCAGTTGATCGACGATGCCTTTGCCTTCGTGTCGTCGGGGACACTCGCGTCCTTCGATGTGCCGATGTCTCTCACCAAGTTCCTCAAGAACGATGGCAACTTCTTGCCTTGGGCGACTGCAGCTTACCACCTGGAATACGTCTCGCTCATGTTCCGCCACGCGCCCGAATCCTCTCTCTTCCGGGATTACATATTGAATCTCTTGGCACCGAGATTCCAAGAAACTCCTTTCGAGTCGTTGGAAGACCGGCCGGACTCCTATTCGGACGTCACGACCTGGCTCTACGCTGACATCATCCAGAGCCTCGCCTGCGCCATGGAGCATCCCGAATGCATCGCTGCGGCATCCGCACGTTTCCAGAGCTGGAAGGCAGCGTACGACCCCGAGGACCCGGACAGGGTTCTGCTCAGTCCCAACGGGAAGACGACCGTCTACGTCTACGGAGTCTTTGGGGGTGACGTCAGCGACTGGGATTTTGCATACCAGCACCACGGGCTCACTGGAGACGACGACGAAAAGGATTCCATGCTGCTGGCCATGGCAACCTCCGGCGATTCCCAGCTCCTCCTCTCGCTTCTCGGGGACGTTCTGTCTCCGGATTCGTCTCAGCTCGATCCGTCTTACGGTGCTTCGGCATTCCGCTACGTCGCAGCCAATCCCGTGGGAAGGGAACTTGCATTCGAGTTCCTTCGAGAGAACTGGGGCGAGCTGAAGGAACGATACGGATCCATGGGGGGATTCGTGGGGGGCTTCCGGAGTTTCAACACGCGAGAAGACCTGGATCGACTGACGAACCTCATGGATGAGCACCCTGAGGACTCCAATTCGTTTACGGGTACGATCAGAGCGGTGGAAAACAACATTGCATGGATGGACTCCTATTACGAATCCCTCGTCACTTGGCTCACGACCAATGCACCGTGAAGTTCGAATTCCAGTTCTGTGATTATGAGTGCAAATTTGAAACATGCGATGGAGCTTTGTCAATGCCATGAATATAACATGATAGAGAAAAAGTAAATATCATGTGTTCATTTTCGCCTATCTGAAACTGAATGTCAAAACATAAATGTCATAATTTGACCTCAGCCATTTATTTAGCTCTTGAACAGACACTCCCACAAAAAGACAGAGCTTGGGTACTCTATAGTATATATATATTTTAAATTATTGTATGTAAAGTGCAAAACTCAACGAAGAACTAGGGGAAGCTTATACCTTAAAAGGAGTGGGAATTTCCCATCCATGATCCTTATAAATAAATTTAATTCACTTTACCCTAGACCACTATGTTCACGAGACATGAACATCGGGAAAGCATATTGTGCAATCCATCCAGGGCCGTTTTTAGGGGCAGGCGAAGCTGGCGATCGCCCGGGGTGCCTGCGGGAGGAAGTGGGGGGGGGGGGGGGGGGCCGCGTAAAGAAANGGGGGGGGGGGGGGGGGGGGGGGGGGGGGGGGGGGGGGGGGGGGGGGGGGGGCGCCGCGTAAAGAAACACAATGAAAAAAACAATATTTTTAAATATGGTTAGCGTGGAAGAAAATGCCTTGACTTGGCTTTGACTATATACAAAATGATTTCCGTCAGTTCCAGCTCCCTGTCAGCTTTTGAGGATATGGCCAGAGTTGCGATGGTGCTTCGTGTCGCAGTAGTTGGTTTGGTGGTGGTGGAGGGAAGCGCCATTGGAACTCCTTGTCCTGGGCGCCAATATGCCATGAAACGGCCCTGAATCCATTATTATAAGGGACACCCAGAAGTTAGTCACAATATTGATTTCATTAAAAAAGATCATTTTACGAATGACACTCTCTATGGTACAGATTTGATGACACCTCCTCCCCCTTCTCTTTAAAATCATGCAGCATGAACACATGTCCAGTTGACTAAAAGCACTTGGAGAGCAGTTGAAGCACAAAAAAACTAATTGGATTTTGCTTAGTGTCGCATTGTACCCTTTTTGCACATGGACACACCCCTGAATGAAATAAGTTACAACGTCTGAGGCGGGCACGAGTGAAAAAAATATGAATGCAGTAAAGAATGTGACAATAGCCCCAGCAAACAAGGCTACGTTGGGCCAACGTTGTATCGACGTTCCGAACGTTTAGTTAATGTAGATTCAACGTTATGTGTTTCAAATTGTTTTGCTGGGAACACTTTTATAAGGCATCAGCCACAGTTAGGAGTAGGACATGTCCCAACCGAAAACAGCATGGTGAACAAACTTTCTTTAGTTAATTTAAAGGGGGAGGGGGTGTCATCAAATCTGTACCATAGAGAGTNGGGACCAAGCTTTGAACTTCGAGATAAGCGGAATTTCGACTTATCAGGATTCGAGTTAACGAGTTTTCACTGTAATTAAGAAAGAACTAACGGAGTAATTAAGTTCGTAAAACATCATGTTGCAACTGCCAAGTCCTTCCTCACATGCTTTTTCTTGCGTATGTTGGGGTATTAATCAGCAATATTTATAGGTCTGTGTCAAGATTGAAGATCCAGTTGGAGGCTGATGGGGTAAGCTCATGGATATCGTCCATGGTTCCTGCAAACGAACGGAGTGGGCTATGATGAATAATGTGCTGGATGGTTTGGTCTTCGAAACCGCAGTCACATCTGGGGGTGGTCTTGATTTTCCACCGGTGCAAGAGGTGGGCGCATCGGCCGTGCAAGGTGCGGATGCGATTAAGCATGGTCCACTGCTTTCTTGGCAGGTCGAAGCCAGCAACTTCTGTGGTGGGATCAGAAACGAGACTTTTGTTGGGAACGATGGCTTTGACCCACATGGATTTCCACTGTTCCTCCAGATTAAAGGAGGACGCGTAGAGAGCAATAGCTCTGATCCAGGGCGGGTTCCGGGATTTTAGCCGGGTCCTCGGTGGATTTTCTAGAACCTCACAAATTGGAAGATCAAGGTTGGCTTTCATTTGGCTGAAGTTGCGTGAATTCTGCGGATGTTGGAAGGTGGAATATGGGAGAGCGTTGATAGCCACACAAACGGGTGCATTTTAGAGTTCCCGTAATCAGACGCGTCGATGCGTTGAGTTGGGCGTCTAAGCCCTTGGTGTGTGCACTGCTCTACCAAACTGGAGCACAGTATTCTGCAGGCGAATAAACCAATGCAAGTGACGATGTTCGTAGTGTGCGCGCCCTGGCATCCCACGAGGTTCCAGCCAGTTTGCGCACGATGCTGACCCTAACCTTCACTTTGTCGCGTGTCCTTTTGAGGTGGGGTCTGAAGGTGAGGCTACAGTCCAGGGTAACGTTTAGATGTTTTGGCTTGGCCTCATATTTACTCGATGGCCGCAGGAGACAGGAAGAGTCTCTTTAGCGGCGCGGTTGTTGAGGTGGAATGCGGTGACTGTTTTAGTCGGGTTTGGGCGGAGACTCCATCTTTGGAAGTACTTCGCTAAAGTGTCCAGGTCAGTGGTGAGGGTGTCGCAGATGGCGGAGAGTGTGGCACCCCATGATTCTTCACATGCTCACTGATTATGAAAGAACAGCAGGAAAGTCACAGAAAAGATTGTTTTATTCTTGTATGAAATGATACTGACTGAAAACCTGACAATTCCAAAAAAAGGATGCCAGAACTAATGCTTAAGAGAATACACATGAAAAGCAGACACGTGGCCTTGTGACAATTCACACCAGGGATGATCACGTGAATCTCATGGATGAGGGAGGATAAAAGAGATTTCTGTTCCTTTCTTCTTTGCCTCACTCTATGACACTTCCATGGCAGCATGGTTCATGCCATTTTCAATAGATGACAGTGGAGGTTCCTGAAGGCTTCCGGTGCTATTAGCTGAGTCCATTTCATTGGACTCTATTGAGGCATGCATCTGGCTTTGCTTGGACAAGTAGGGACACTCATCATCACTTTCCTTTGTAGTGGTTCCTCCTCCCCCCCAGTCAATCTTGAACCTAGTGACACGAGGTTCATTGGCCAGAATGTTTCGTGACAGCTGAAACAAATAACAAAACCATGAGACATGATTTGAGGCTATCAGTTCTTTCATGCAGTAAAAGACTACCACTATCTCTGATCTACAAAGGAAGGCAAGTACTAACCTTGTCAAACTGAGTTGTGGCAGGAGGGTTTTCCCTCAATTCTGCATCCCCATACTCATTATTGACATAGTAGCCAACACGAATGAATTCTTGTGCTCGGTATGAACAGGTGAGAAGAATCACAGTGACACCAACTGCATCTTCTGGTGGAATTTTTTTTGTGTCTGGTGGATCAGCCTGGAAAGAGACCTCATTGATGCATTCTCTGTAGCTGCACACTGCTTCACAATGTGAAGTTCTAGCAGGACAAACTAAATGTTTCTAGAATAACAATTACCTCATAAAGCAGACATTTCTTTTACTGAGTAAAACCAAGCAGGATGAATATAAGAAATAATTGACTGGATTGCTGGAGACAATGATAAGTCACAAAACAATTCAAGAGGAATGAGAAGACAGTGTTCAACACTGCAACATGCTAAGAGACTCACCTGAAACACAAACATATGCCTCCCTTCTGGAACAGGTCCAACATACACTGTATCAAGGACTTGATCATACTCTTCACTTTCAGCAGAACCTACATAAATTAACTTCCACTCCAAATCTGCAATGATAACACAGCACATTCATCAATTACCTGAAGCCCAACTGAATAAAAAAGAGGAAAAAACAAAATTATACTCACCATCTTGCAAGTCCTCAATGCAATCAAATGTCACTTCAAACTGGAATGGATTTAAAAAATTTGATGGATTGTCCAAGACCACAACATTACACACATGAACTTTGGCCATGTTCTCCCCAGTGAAAGTTGCACTCAAGACTGGGGTGATCCAAAATCTCAGTCTGCCAATATGCAACTCCTTCACTTGCAAGTTGAATCTAAGTTTCCAGAAAAAAGAAAAACCAACTTGTTAAGGAGACATCATTGGGCAGGTTATAGAAGGCATACATCTACACTCAAGCTCCAGGCAGGTTTCTTCATTTGAGGTTGAAACATTTTTAGATGATTCAAACATCCCTCTTCCCATGGAGTGAGACCATCATTCTTGGCCTAAGCTTATTCTTCTTTTGTTTACATTAGACTAGGAGGCAGTATTTAGGTTTTTTGGAATGCACCAGGTTCAGTGGCAGAGGGCTTGTTTCTTTTGAGTCATACCCATGCAGAGGTGAATCAAGCCCTGGAGGTGGTAGAATGAATCTCTGCTCAAATCAACCTATTTGCTTTCTGCCAAGTATCCCCTTACAGGGACATCACACCCATTTTATCTGCCACAACTAGGAGACACAGGCAGAGTAAACCCTGAAAATCACTCATACCAGACATGAATGAACAATGTTGCAAAGGGGCATGCTTGGTCTCAACCAAATGAGGAGGAAGCTAAGTCTTGATCTTGAAAGTGCAACATGAGACCCTGGCTTTCCATTTCATCAAAAGCAAGCACACTGCATGCAAGCTCCATTCATATATTTCCTTCATTTAGCACCACTCTCCTGAAGACATTAATTCAGGTGGTGAAATAAAACTTGACCAATATAAGGTTTGATATTTTCTTAAGTCAAAAGAAAGTAACTTCAGGATGTGTTCTGGAGATGTTGGGGTTGTCATATTTAGTCATGTGTCTGCTATCCTGAGAGGGAGATGTGTGAATATATGAGGTGCCAATACAAATTGCAATTTGACTTGAGATGCAACTGATGACAATATGGAAAGGAGATCCAATTAAGGAACAGAAGTCAGTTTGACAGGAATGAATGATATAAGAATGGGAAGATGTCATCAATTACAGCACAAACACCAGTGAAGGTATGGATGCCCAGGGCCACCTACTTCATTCAGTCACATTCCCACTCCCATCCTGATTTCACACTTTCCACCAGATTTCACAGATGAGATAGGCTAAAATCCAATGATTGAATTAAATCTGTCCATTATGGGCCCATGTGGCTCATGTTGTGAACATGGCAGAATACTTGCACAATGCTTTCAATACATACACCGAAGGATATTTGGCTTGATGGGAAATTGTATGGTACTGTACTTATATTACATTTCTTTCATTCATGTCAGCAATTTAGGGCATTTCATGCATTAACCAGAGTTGGGATTAAGTGATCCTATTGAGGGGTAGCTGTTATGAACAAAGGGTCAATTGCAGTTTTGTCATCACCACTGAGTTTGACAGTGCTGCTATTCATGAGAACTCCCCTTAAGTATAGGCCTATACAGCTGTCTAGCCCTGATCTCAGACTGGCTTGGGCCCAAGGATGGCCAGCTTGACTTCTATTGTCTAGTACAATGTTATGGGTAGCCTCCCAGAAAGGCTGAGGAGAAAGAGGGCATGCAATTAGCACCTTCTCAGCCTGCCCTGTTGGGTGACAGTTCTGAGATGCAAATAGGGATACTCTCTCTTGTCTCAACACTGACCTGTACCACAGAAGAGAGGACATTAAATGTAGAGGCCATGGACTTTTCCTACTTCTACATTTTTCAAGTTACCTCATCAGGTTTGGATGAATTGGCACAACATATGCCAATAAAACTGAATTTTCCTGCATGAAGCATTCTCTTCATTTCTGGCAACTCTGATTTTTCTCACAGGTCTGACATGAGTCCTCAACCAATGGTTTATGATCCCTATTCAGACATGAAAAGAAAAATTGTCAGAAATCTCCTAATTATTTACAACTTAATGGGTCTGAGGAATCACCACTGTCAACCTGGTTTGCTGACTAGCTCTTCTCAAAGTGAATGGACTATCAGTCATTTTTTAAGCCTGGCTTTCCACGACCTGTGCAAAACCTGCACCTCTGGGGCTTAATCAGTCTGGTGGACACCTGCCTGTACAGGTGGAAACTACGTAAGGTACCCTGACTGGGGCAGGCAGATACCATGACTACCATTGCCAAGGGCAAATAATTTATTCTCTCAGCTCTTATTCCACCTGCAGTTGTTTATACATGCATGAGCTGCATTACATTGAACCTCTGCGACAAGAGGAAACCCTTCTGAACAGTTAAACATGTCATCCAATTGAGCGACATCTGTTGTCTTGATGATGTCCTAACTAAATAAGTGACCGACAGTACAGTACTGTTGTCTTTCCTCAGGCATGAACCTTAAAGAACAATAACAAAGCTTTAAAAAACAGTTAATCTATATGAATACACTCCCACGGCCAATAAATCAATAGGTCGTCTGTTCTCATCTAAATTAGCAAATAAATTTTCGGTTCGGCCATGGAACCGTCTTGTCTTGCTGTCTGTCCTCAAATGTCGTAAAAAATTTGCCTCAGTTTCACCCCTTTCCAGGGGTACTGCGACACTCACCGTCATTCCATCCATAATAGGGGGGAATTCCATGGTGTTCACGTTTGTAAATGCTACTAGCCTATGAGCTATCTCGGTGTCCACGTAATCGATTTGGTGCAAAGCAAGTGTCCACCAGACCGATTAAGCCCAGCCTACGTCTGCTGGTTGCCTATTAACAGAATGAGAGTAAAGCAGGCCTCTTAAATATATATTACTCCATGTAACGATTCACTACCGGTTCTGGCCTGGGTCTAGCTTATGCCTGCCCTCAATCACAGACTAGCCTTCCGGTTCGGTGATTGCCTGTTCCTTCCTATCCTGCACAAAACTACCAAGTGCGTAGCCTAGCCACTACTGGCGGGAAGAGCAATAGCTCATGGAGTAACTTGACAGTGTTGTCCAAATCTCAATTTGATATGCTATTCCCACTGCCTGTTACTCTGAGTGTCTGAAGGCCTCAGAATAATTTGTGTTTATTGGTGATACGGCTTAGTATTTACTTAAATATAATTCTAAATGATTTATTAGCGTCCCAAGAATAGGACGCTTGAAAATTGTCCTTGTGACGCATTATATCTTTAAGACGTGACGAACACTGTCTTCAACGTAAGCAAGGCCGGAACTTCCTACGTTCCTAGAAAGTGTCCTATGTCGCTGAGTTAAGAGTCCTGAAACGTAAATAACCGCATATACTGGTACTTGGGGGAGGAATCAGTTCATCTCTTCCCCCTCCCACCTCCAAGAGACTTCCTCCTGACCTGGAAGTGGAATAAAAACTCTGACCTTTCTCTCTTTTCACTCGGGTGGACCTTTTCTGGTGTGTGATTTTCCGGTTTTCCTTTCCATACTGTATGGATGTCGACAGGGTGGATGAGTGTGTGTAAGTTTATCTATAGTCCGAGTTACATTTGATAATTTAAAATATATTTGTTCTTTATGTCGCATCATCTCGTATTTCGTTATCGATCCCACCGGCACCATAACCATGTTACCGGAGTGACAATAAGCGACACCAAAATATGGACTCGGAAAATCTTTAGAATTTTATACAAGGGTACCAAGTTCGAAAAATTCAGTTGACCCGGGATGGAAGTCAAAGTTGGACGAAAATAGGTTAGGAAGGACTACACTACGATTCGCTTTTCGTGGAAAGAAACTATTGAAGCCATCGCCAGAGGTTATGGTAACACTGGGTAAAGGATTGGCGAAACCGAACGTTTATGAATGCCACGGACTTTAGGATGCGACTTTTTTTAGAAGTATGGGAGGGGTTCAGAGACAGTACTCCTTTGCAAGTATTCCTTGTGCCCCCCCCCCCCCCCCAATCTCTGTCCTCTTAGAAATATTTATGTTTGGTATAGAACAGTGGTTTTCAGCAGCTGTACCAGATTGCTAGACTTCACTTCATCGGCTTCGACTGCACCATAGACAACTGTAGAGGAAATTTGCAGCAGTCGAGCGTTTGTATGTTAAAACACCATTAAGTTGCTCGAAATCCGCAGCTCGTATATATTAGATATTTCCAGGGTCGGACTGGCCCACCGGGATACCGGGAAATTTCCCGGGGGACCCCAGACCTGATAAAATAAATTATATGTATATTCTTGGGGAAGGGGGAAGCTGAACCCTAGGCCACCAGCCCGACCCTGGATATTTCCAAAATTGATTTTCGCTTTTTTTTCTTGCTTGCCATTCAAGCATGAATGCACTGATTGTGCACTTGGGCTTTTCTGATAACGAACTTGTCCGTTACTCAATAGTTTGCACTGATGCCATGACTCGGTTGCCCAAGAATGTCCCGAGAATTTAAGATTAAGCCCACGCATCGAGTCTCAGACGATAATCACGGATTTGGACGGAGATTATCTTTCATCCCCATTGCGAGTGCCGACAGGAACTTTCGCCGTTCATCTGTAGAAGATGAGCTGTTTTTCTCTCCTTAGGTTCCAACAAAACAGTTAACTGACCATTTTTCATGAATTGTTGAAGGGGCCGGCCCCTTTCGCCCAATTTTTTGGGGGACCCAAGCCCTGACAAAAGAATGTATTTGTATACTTATAGTGAATAGGAACCGGTGAACCAAAGCCACAGGCACATCAATAGTGGGAAATGGGGTAGGAGCAAACTGTAAGTTTTGCTTCCCCCCCCCCAAACTTCGGAAAGCTGGTGCGACTGGGAAAAAAGCTTCTATCTTTGAGTGGGTAGCCGTCATTCTGCCAGTCATGGCAGCTTTTCATTCCCAACCACGCTCTCGCATTTGCTCCATATTTTGCGCATTTCATGCCTCCATATAGCTCTCAGTAAAGCATGTGGATGAGTTTAGTCCGTTCAGATCAAAGATGGATGATATCTAACGAAACTAAGGGTGAATTTTTGAACAGAGAACGATCCGATAATGCTGCTTTATTTCCAGGAAATATCATGTATTTTCCTTGGAATAAAACTGCATTATCGGATGGTTCTCTGTTCAAAAATCCACCCTACGTCATTCCATCTCAAGTGGTCCAAAGGTGGTTGCTGCATCAACTGGGATATAGCCGTTAAAAGCCATGTGTACTAGGGGTTATGAGAAACGGACAAGTTGTGGCAAGTGTTCCAATTCACATATACAGGATGCATATTTCCAGATTTGGATGTCATGACATTTTTGGATAGGATTAATTTACAGAAATTCTATTCTCGGCATTTTTCTAACTCCTCGCAAGTTACACCGAGAAATGTAATGAAGACATAAGAAGAAACGGGCAGCGAAATATAGAGATGTTGGTTGATGGCGTATCTGCAAAACCAGGTTACTATTTTTTATTTTCACGTTCGCAAACATTTAAATTTCAATGCAATATGTAATATTATACCGATTTTAAAATGCGCGCATGTGTTTTCCAAGCCTTGTGAAACCCACAATATCAAGTATAACATGTTTTCCTGCTCGAACATGGTCGAGGTGAAGTTAAGCGCTTGATGGTAAATCTTAATCGAGATGGTCAGGAAAAAAATTTCTCAACGTTCAGGATTTCAGAGTAACACGATCAAACTTATACGATTCGCAAGAGTTTCGAGAGACCTATCATTCTATTGGATAACCATAACTGTACTCAGGGTCGGCCCTAGCTATTTCGACGCCCTGTGCAAAGAGACTCCCAACGCCCGCCCGCCCCCAGAAGGGAGAAGGATCAATCCCTTACGTCGAAAATGACGCCGAAACGGAAGGCATTTCCACTTTCTAAAGTAAAACTGAGGGTGGCATCCATTATTGCTTCACATATTCAGTCACGTTTTGGCGCCTCTGGTCAACTTGCGCCCTGTGCGGGGGCACATGCCTAAGGCCGGCCCTAACTACTTGGAATCAAAGAAAAAGTTAGTTGAACAAATATGGCAAAATTAGCATCTTTAAGTACACATTTCAGAATTTTGAAGCGACGTAAAAACGAAATACATGCATCTGTGGACTAATCTCATAGAGCATGATAGACACTCCAAAACTTGTCCAGTTACGTGCATTTTTACTGTGAATTTTTTAGGGTTGAAATTTTGATTTATTTCATGATTTCATAAAATAGTAACTTTTTTCTAATTAAGGCACAGAAGAACCTGTATAAAAAGTTAGAGATGCTTGGTTACTCGCTTTGAAATGAGCTATTAATCATACTTCCAGCTGAAGTAGTTCGGAAGATATTACATTTGTTTGAGGGGTCATTTTACCCTTCCCTCTCAAATTTCAGGGGGCATATCTCAAAGACTGCTTGACCTAGACAGCTAAAATTTTGGATTCATCCGTTTCTCATAACCCTTAGTACACATGGCTTTTAACGGATTTGACCGTGGGATTTGACCCAGTCGGTACAGCAACCAACCTCGCGAAAATTGGACCACTTAACTCAGTTCCCTTAATAGAGGTATGAAATGTGCAAATTACGAATCGAAAGCGTGAGTTGCTGACCCCAAAAATCTCACAGTGCCGGATGACAGCGCTGCTTACAACTTGGTAGACACATTTTCAAATACAGGCTACCCATGGGCAGTGGGGGGGGGGGGATTGATAAGTGCAATAAGATAGTTGAGGCCGGCTGAAGCCCTCTGGCTACGCCACTGCGTGGAGTCCTGGAAGACTCAACAGCGCCAGCGATTCCTACCAGGCACCACTAGTCGAGATGGAAATGGCTTGAAACCCTGGAAGACCCGATGGAGCTTGGGGAACAAGACTTCACTTACCAGATCACTATCGAGAGCGCACCCAGAACGAAAAAGGAACTGAATCCATCAGCCACGTCCTTCAACAGCCTCATGTATATTAATATTCCCAGCTTAAGAAAAAAATTCTTATCTTATCTCCCAAATGCCACGCCACAACTGAGACATCCAGGAGATTCATTTGGGATCAGATGTTATTTCAGCACAAGAAAAACAAAGCAAGTTGCAGTCACTTCAGTGACAGCTCTGGTACCTGCATATTTATTAGCAGAAACCACCCACATAAGTAAACAGTTTTTACATATATTTTGGGATCCCTCACTCTCAAGATTTCCATCTCAAGAAAATGTGCTTCCACTGAGTGACATGGAGCAAAACTGAACATTTCTTTTAATAGAACTGAGGGACTGATTATCACATGCATGGAAAAGCTGTATGAATTATAATCAATATAATAAGAGATTCAAATGAATCTCAAACAAAACCAAGTTCTGAAAAAAGCTGACTTCAAGCAGGAAACTTTTGGTTCTAGAAAATAGAAAAAAGTGTACACCCACAGGAGATACACCCATCAGAAAGGATTTCAAAATTAATACTGGGACACTTTTTGCTCATTCATGTTTCATCCTCATTATTTCCCACTGTCTCAGATGGTCCTGGAGGAAGAAGGGAGTTCAGACAGTGGGTCGGAATTCCTCTTCCATTACACCATGGAGGGAGAGGAGCAAAGAACGAGGACACAGGCCCCAGAATTCTTTTGGCTTAAGACCTCGACTCATGGCTGTGAATTTCCAGCCCAGGTGGCACTGACAAGTGGGGCATTCAGCAATCGTCCAAGCGTACCTGTATGAGATGAGATGAACTGCTCAAATGATGCATCACACTCTCTGCAATCAAAAAGTTATTTAAACAAACCCAGGGAACCAGGAGTGTTCCTTTGAAGGTCTCCCACGCAGACGAAGCTTAGAGATGACCTTGTAGAAGGTGAGAGTCTCATGGATGTGACCACCTGGGTTAACATAAGTTCCTTGGGGACCCTCCAAGGACATGGGGAAGATGTCTTGATAGTTGGCCAACTGGAGACCACATGTTCGGCACAAGAGGAACTTGCTCTACATAATGATACAAATTCCACCCACACTTTAGGCTTATAACTCTGATATGCACAAATTGCATGTGATGTATCCAAATCAGCCTCAAGCAGGACAAGAAAAAATTAAGACTGTTTCATTACCAATTATTCAGAAAAGAGGCACCAAATCAAAGGATCACATGCAAGACTGTCAAAACTTCCTGTGAAGACTCAATGGCTGTACCACTGAGTGTGTTAGAAAAAATCCATGACATGGAAAGATAATCTTATTACTGAGTGATGCTTTGGAATTAACAAGATATCTGAATCTTCATTCATCAGTCTCTTCCTCATCTGGGAAATCACTTCCTTTGCATTGCTATATGACTTTACTTTGAATAAGAATAAGTTTTCTCAATACATTGTTTTCTTCTTATGAAGGGATGGTTTATTATGAAAGTGTCCATTTTTTCCTGGGGTTCAAGTAACCAAGTTTTTTTTTTATATATACAGAGTGATCCAAAAAGTGAACCGACCTGATTGAATTTCATCTTTAAAAAATTATATTGTAAACCATGCCCTTCAAAGCCATGTGCGTCACTGACATTGAAATCATAGGGTTCAAGCAAGGTGGTACATGTCAACCCTTACCATTACATTCTAGGGAAACAGTGTGGTAAAGAAACAAACCCGCTCAAGGAAGCTAAGTTCATATCGCAGGCGCTGTACGGCTGAGTTCAGTTCAAGAAGGAAGACCTTCTTTGCATTCTCCAATGGGAGATTCTGGGCAACCCAATATGACAGCTTCACAGGATCCTTGGGAATGAAGGCTGACATAGCACCAAGAGTTTTGCATTGTCCTTGAAATTGCATGTTTTTCATCAATGCCTTTTTCACTTGTTTCATCACAGTCTCTGGATCATATAGGTTGTAAAGCCAAGGGGGATGAGGGGTGAGGGGGACCCGATGTGACAGTGCTGGCCCAAACCGGTCCAGAGATGATAGTCGCATTGCCTCCAGTGGATCAGGGAGAATCCGTTCTTCCAGTATCTCCAATTTCCCCATCTCCACCCTACCAGACACAGAAGCATATGAAAAAAGAAGCACATGAAGTTACAAAAAAACAAGAAGGTATGAAACCTGTCAATGGTTCGTCGAGTTTCCAGCACCCTAAATCTCTGCCTGCCTTTTGCTTTCACCGAGAACATCATCCCAAACTGAGGCTCATCATGATATTCATAGATCTCTGCTGTAGTACCATACTTTGCTTCAGGGCTGTACCTGAAATGGCAATATCCAAAATTTTCAAATGCAAATTAAATTTCACACTGGTCCTCACATCACTGCTTACACTGTTGGGGATTAATTAAAAGTTTTTCCACATACATAACTTACTTTTCATCAATGGAACTACAGTTCCATGATGATGGATCCCACTCAAGATTTCAATGTGCATTAAGCCTCTATATGGTAAAGTGAAACAAACTGAGTATTACCATGTATTGGCACATGATTCCTCCACCAATTTCAGACAAGACTCATACAGATGAAAAAGAAATATCAAATGAAATACACTAAATTCTTGTTAACTCAAATCCTGATAAGTCTAAATTACGTTTATCTCGAAGGTCAATGCTTGGTCTCTGCTGAATCCCATAAGACACCATAATAAATTTTCCATTTAACTCAAATTCCCTTATCTCAAATTTCTGGATTTCTTGAATCACATTTTCACTCCCAATTACAATTTTCTCATGGTTAACTCAAAATCAGGGTGTGAAGGGGGGAAAAATTATTGTGGGATCTATCAATTTGTTGAATAGGATTCTTGATAGAAAAACCACTCTCTTATAACCTTTAAAGGGAGTTTTTTTTTCCTGGTAGAGGCAATTCCTGATAAGTCAAACTTAGGATAACTAAAAACAATTTTCCTGGCACCAAAAAGTTTGAGTCAATGAGTTTTTACTGTACTTCCTGTCAATCCTAAAATGGCAACTGACTGACAGCTGAATTTAAACAAATGCCCACCTATCTATATGAATGAGTCAATGTTGACATAAGCAGGAAGATGACTCTCAAAGTCAGCCTCCTCCTCTGAGATCAACATTTCTGTTAATAGAAGAGGCAGGATTTTAGAAAAGAAGGGCTTTCATGTGCACATTGATGCTAATACAGGAGTGATCATATCAAATGCATGTTTTAACCAGACATCAGGCTGATGTTGCTATACATAATTTTTGAAACCTTTAATACTATTTGAGTTTTCCATTATAAACCATATGTACATTATGTACAAGTATGTTAGCATTATTTAAAATAAAAATTAGACACTTGATCTTTTACCAGATGTCTGGTTGGTCAAATGTATAATTCATTACTAAACTAGAACTTGAATGGCTAATATAATGCATACACAATTGCAACCAAAGGAATCACCTTGCAAGACAAAGAGAGCAGGGGGGCCAGGGTAACAGGGCCTATCACTCACCTAACACCAAAAGTCTTGTCTTTGGTGATGAGGTTTCTGAGCATGGAGATGGTTGAAGGTTGAAAGGCAGTGAGGGGGATCGTCTGACCAGGCATCAACACGATATCATGATCTGATACCAATGGCAATTCAATCCAAATCTTCTCCTCCAGAACCACTCGCCCTCTCACTTCCTCTCCAGAGTCTCCCAAATACTAAGATAATGCCAGGTCAAATGAAAGAAATCCAAAGTAGTTGAAACTCATAATAGAATAGGCCTATATTTAGGTTCATAAGCCAAGGGTGAACAGCAGTTCACTGCTATTGAAGCCACCAGCTTAAACGTAATGAAAGTCTTCCATAGGTGGCATTAGCTAGGACTGTCCTATTTATCACAATATTGCAATTATACAGTCATGGAGCTTGGATTTTTTGGGCAGTTGGTTTGCAAGATGAAAAGGTGATCTCACTTCAGATTGTAAAATGTCAACTAGTTGACATTGTTCTTATCTCTAGCACATAAAATGCAATTCCCAAGCAATTTATTCTCAACAATGAACACATGATACTATCTACATGAGATCAAGCAGACTGGGAGAAGTGGCTGTTCCTAGAGAAAACTGTAACATGGCATGTGCCAGTAAATCATGTATAGACAGCACCTTTGACAAGATTAGGTAATCTGCAAACACTGGTCAAAAAGGGTCTAAATTTCTCATGTCTCATTTCTTTAGTTCTCCCTTCCCTGCCAAAATTCCTAGTGCCTCAACTATGCACAATTTTCTTCTTTCTATCTTCCACTAGCAACTGGTCTGCTTCTTCTTTCAAAGATATTCATCATATTGTTGATGATAATCAATCAACAAGACAATATCCCTGTCCTGGCATTAGCAATTAGGCAATACTTTGATAGGCTTCATGAAAAAGCAGCTAATGAAAGGAAGTAAGATATACTCAAAGCCAGTTGTCACATTTAAATGATAAAAGAAATCTGGGATCCTCACTTTTTCATCCATACGCTAAAATAGGCCTAACAGGCAGGATAATGCAGAAGCCTTAACGAAAAGAAGTTTGGCATACAGAATGCTGAGTGGGAAGTGCAGGGTCGAAGTCAGCTGAAGGGGCTTCTCCTGTCATCTCTGCATCTGTAGTGCCCTCTTGGGATTCCTCATCATACGAATCTTCATCAACAGGCTCGAGGGCGTCATAGTCTTCTGGCGCAGCAAGGTGCCTATTTTCATCGTCAGCCATCTTCTTGCCTGTGGCTCAAGTCGGCTATGTAGAACAATAGGGCTAAGTATATCGTCACTGCTTCTGCACCTCTCGTAATGTCCAGGTGGGCCTACATAGCCTTTCCTTTCATTAAAGCCACGATTCTAATCACAAACTGCTCAGACTCACGATACAGACAGCTAAGCGAAGTTTACATCGATGAATTACAAGGCCCTGAACTAGTTCAGAATGCCAAGGCATGGCAACGCTACTCTAACGAAAGCAGATAACAGACAACAACGGAGCTCAGTGCTCACGAGGTGAAAGCAGAGGGAGCAGCCACATCTGCTGTTTATCTTGACGTCATATTGACGTCATCGAAAACGTCGTCTGCTTCTCGAAGCAGACGACGTTTCCAATGCAACCCCATTCCCTCCTTCAACATCGACGCTTGAAACTTTTTCAGAATAAAAGACCAGCGGGGCAGGAGCGTCCTCTCGAGCGTACGAGATTAATTGATACATGAAACACGGTGCGTTTCCTGGAAAAAAAAAATCGACAAATAGGAGGTGACGATGGAACAATAGATGATGCAGGTACACGGGGCAGAAAATCGTTACGTCCCTTTATACGTAAGACAGGGTGCCACCTGCCGAGACCTCTGCAGGTGCCATTTTCGTGTTACTGAGAATCGAGCTGGCGTGTGACAAACAATGGAAATGACTTTGAGTATATTTTACTTTGTAATACTGAATTTGCAAACTATAAAAGACCTATCGAGAAAGAAAAGGAAATCTTGTCAGGCTGAAGGGAAAAAAAAAATCTATCCCATTCGTTGTCTGCATGCCTTCTTGTTCTCAGCTCGGACATGACATGGCATTTCTGCAAAAAAATAAAGTCTGCAATTCTTCTCATGGGCTCGGATTTGCTGGAAGGGGGGGGGGCCAGAAAATAATTCGGATGGGCTTAAAGGTCCTCTTGCTGGAATAAGATTTTTGTTTCGATCAAACTTGACACTTTTTCCAGGGGCTTTCCACGTCATCCACTTTAAATAAGTTCATACGCATTTCATTTATTAACTTGGAATTTATGCCAGAGGGAACAGAAACTCGGGAAGAACAGTCCCATTCTCACTTTTCGAAATGCAGTTTTTTTTAGTCAAAAGCTACTGCAAGTGTCAGTGCGACGCCACTCACATTTACACGTGCCTCATCTGTCTTTTTTTCGGCTATCTGGCAATATGAGACAAAATCAAAAGCAAGTTCGGGAGATCGTAGAGTGAAGTGAAGCGGGAATTGTCATAAATTATGTAAGAAAGGCCCTATTAAGATAATTAAAAGCGATGCATAACAGTTGAAAAGCACCTAGATAGCTCCAGAGTGCATTCGTTATTTCGAAAAGAAGCAAATATAGTACCATGAGTGCTGTGGAGAACCAGAGAGCAACCTCCCACCGCAAGAGCTCGAAAAGAAATGACCATTTCTACTTCAGAAGCCTTGTTGTCAAAAGCATCCTTCGTGCATGCGCATCGCATAGGTGCGCTCAGTCGCGCTAATTCCAACTGTCTTATGACTAGGGAGCGGATTTTTATGCAAATGCATATTTTTTCTGCAGTCTCATAGGAACATGCATCCCAGGTAGGATTGTGTCTTTTGGTAGAGGAGGCGATCTCTTCCATTTTAAAAACGCATAAAAATGCACTTATTTTAAAGGTTTTTCTCAGCACGTACTGAGCACCCGTTGGTTTCCTTCGTCCTTCATTGGCGAGTTCTTGGCTATGCTGCTGGCTGTGACAATAGATCAACAATACCCAGTAGAGGTATAAAATGTACATTTAACTTGCTTCATCCGAAAAAGTCGTACTGCATTAAAAAAAAAGAACATTTTGTTGCATATTTTCCCGCATTCATGCATATTTTGCATTTTAAGTACATATGTATGTGCATATTTTTGAACTTACAAGCGCATCCGCTCCCTAATTATGATTCTCCCCGGAGGTAAGTCGTCTCCTTTGAAATTTCAGGTTCATGGAACATAATTCAGAACAATCTGCAAGCTCATCGCAAATTCTGGAGAGCTCTGAGAAATATGCCCTTCTCTTTTCATTGACGAGTGGCAACTGCCACGAAACTGAAGCTCTGACCTTGCGAGCTGGACTTTCCCAGAATAAAGCTCAACACTGTTGATGTTGGTATTCACTGCTGCTGTTTTTTATGGCTGCATATTTCTTTCTCCCAAAGACTAATCGCAATTATATTCGGTAATGAATGATAGTTATCAAAATTTCCTTATAACGCTCCATGAATTTCGAACGAGAGCTCAAAGAAGAAATACTTAGACGCGGGGGCATGAGATGACCATGAATCACGACGAGCTAATCAGATAAAACAAAAACCAAAATGTTCCCATTCATTCTCATCCTTTTCTACTCCCTCTCAATGTTTCAACAAACATAACCTTCGCTGCAGCCACGCCTGTGAACGTGAATGACAACTGTGACAGCGTACATTATCCATACGACCCCCATCCACATGCGATAGGAGAAGAAACTAAACGGATTGAAATCGTTCACATCCCAGTGCCTGAGTCAGACAATTCACGCTTGAGATAATTATGAAATAAACCATTACCGAAAGGCTCACCTGAGCAGCCTCTTGGTTCACCCTTCACCCTTAATTTTATTTTAGCAATTCCGCAGATATTCTGGCAACACTGCTTACAGCGGTCCGTCGTCCCCCTCCCCCCTTCACATCCAACATTCACCATCCACGCTTTGACCCTGTACTCACTGGAAATTCAAGCCCGACTCTTCGAACTCAGAGGATCGCTGCGTTCTCTGCTTCGGGGAAAAGTCTCATTCTCTCCCTTTGTGCTGCGGGCGTGACACGACGATGAACGATATGTCCCAGGACGACAGAGACAAGTTTGTTTGATCTTCGAGGGGAGTGCGACTCACGTGGTCTAGATCTGTGATTCAGGCATTGGATTTCACTTAGTATACGCTCTGTATGGGATAGATTTGGATTGGTTTAATCATTCGTGATTATTTTTTTCACCATTCGGTGTAAGACGAGGATGTTATTGTTCATCGAAATAGTTTTATTTTCTTCCAATTCATGAGCCGTAAAGGACTCATACATGTTGAAGTTTTAACACTTTCGGGGCTTGTTTTTATTTCGAAAATTCAAAAAAATTTAAAGATAAACTCCGAACTTCGTGAACCTTTTTTTTAATTCGCAGATCTTTCCTTCCTCATTCACCTAATATATTTTACGCCTCTGTATCTTATTAATAACCATCACAAAAAAAATATTTTGATTCGAAGAATGCTTTTGAATCTGGAAAAAAGTTATACAACTTCTTCCTCCCTGTCTTGACAACAAAACTGCATAACGACAAGTCCTAAACCGGTCGCATTACATTTATATGATCAATTTGCAAAATAATTAGGAAAATCTGCGTAATATTGGCAAGACCTGTCATTAATCATATTCCGATTGTTTTTTTTTTCAAGTGTATTTCGTGCAAATGACCATGCCTGTACAACTCATGGGCATAGGCCTTAATGTGTGGCATGGCAGAAAGAGTCGATTCTTTTCAACCATGAAACATTCTTTTTTTTTTCGTTGAAAGCGACGGGAACTGGCATTCCAGTCCCCAATTCATATCTTTCCGTCCAAGAATACGGGTAGATTTTTAAGCAGAGCACTATCCAATAATGCAGCTTTATTTCCAGGAAACATGTAGGGTGGATTTTTGAACAGAGCACTATCCGATAATGNAGGAATCAATAAGTTCAATAAGTCTTAGCCCTGCTGCCTTATTCCTTGTGACAAGTACGAGTTCAAGCGCTCTTAGGACATCCCTAATAATATTGAATACATTTAGGCTGGATTTTTGAACAGGGCATTATCCGATAATGCAGCTTTATTTAGGAGAAAATGCATTATAAATCCGGTAAATAAAGCTGCATTATCGGATAATGCTCTGTTCAAAAATCCACCCTTATTTTCTCTAAAATAAAGCTGCATTATTGGATAGCATTTTGGTTTTTCACTTAAGATGGAAGGTGTTCCTTTCACAGTCCCCACGAAGGACGAAGGGTATGAGAGCTTAAAAATGCTAACTGTGCCCAGTGTACGTAGATGTCGCTGGTGTCTGGAAAAAACGCGGGAAATATATTGGAATCTAATTGGCCGTTGGTGAGTCAAGTGTTAATTTCGCAGTTTAACCCTTTGCAGTCCATTTTATTTGTAACACTATGGAGATTGTCGGACGATGTCCGACAGTGGACTGCCAAGGGTTGAAGTTCGCAACCTCAGCTTGATGAAGGTGTAATTTAATACAGGGGTGCCCAAAGTGCGGCCCGCTGGCCGCATCCAGCACACAAAGTGCCTTAGAGAACTTCCACTTTGGGCACGCCTGATTTAGTAGAAAACGTTCCATATGCAGAATCGAAGTGCAATTCCCCATATTCCTTCAATCTGAGCGGATGAACGTGACTTGGAACTCTGGAATGAGCTCACTCACTCGAAAATCCCGGCCGTGTGAGCCTGTCATCCATGGTCATTTCCTACTCAAATTCCAAAGAGGAATATTGCCTTCACTACGAGTACGACCGTCAAGTGAGGTAAAGGCCCGAGTCAGTTTTTCCTTTCTCTGCAAGTTGAGCAATACTTTTGAGTCCGGCGTTGCACCTTTAGAGTGAAGGCATTTTGTGTGGACCTGATGGCAGGGCAGTAGCCATCAGGGATGGAGAAAAAAATAAAATGAATTTTCCTTTAAATGAAACGATTTAATGATTATCAACATTTGATTCTCCCGCACGAGTCAGGGTCGATGCATGTGTCGTCGGGTCCATGGGGAAGGGGAGGGAGACAACAGCCTTCCATCGGAAGGCCACACATGAAGGCCACATGGGTACGGAGGCTTGTCAGAGGAGAACGAAGTGCAGATACGGGCTGGATGTCTCCTCCCCCTGGAAAGAGAAGTTGTTTGCGTGTGTGGGGGGGAGGGAGTGGATGAATGCGGAAGGGAGTGGATGACACGTTCGTCCGAGTGTTTTTGGCTGGGGAAGTGGAAGGTAATTGTTCTCGAGGATGAGTTTCTCGTCTGAGTGCAGATTCAGCAGGGATCTCCTGCTATTTTTTCTTCTGGTCTCCATTGTCGATGGTGAGTTTCGAGATTTTTTTCCGTCACTGTCGGATGTTTTCATGATCATGTTCGAGGTTGGTGTCGTGGTGGCTGAGGTTAGTTAGGACAATGGTTGACTTTTTGTTGGGATTAAATTCATACATTTTTCATTCGTCTTACATCACTTAGCACCAATGCCAGGGCTCGAGTCGGTGAATCAGTCGTCGCAGTGTCACGAATACGCGTTTTTATCTAGGAGAGACAAACCCAAATCCCCTGTTCAGTCGGTGCTGCGAGGTGGGGATGGAGTCGGGGAAGTTCGTGGAATCGGGGAAGGGGTGCGAGGAACGGAAGCCGAGCACGGTCTCAGGGTTCCCTCGGGAGGAACAAGAGATGTGTCTGCTGGTGGTGGAGATATGCTGCGTCAGGGCTTTGAGGGAGGCGCAGTGCCAGAGGGGGATCGATCGGGCGCTGGCCTCCAAGCCGTGTCCGAAGGGGGACTCCAACGAGACTACTCTGAAGGCAAGTGGATAATTGGGTTCATGGTGGAGGACAGATGGAGGATTGAGGACCTGTGGATGACGGGTTGGGCTGCTGTGTAGGATTGCTGCGAGGGGTGCCAGTTGGGGAGGATGTCGTCTCGTCTCGGAGTTGGATGCTCTTTGATGAGTTTTCGATTCGGGAGGCCGTGGGATGAGGCGTTTGCTGCATGCTGTTTGCATCATCCGAACATGCATCCGACCACATCGTCGCCGGTGCAAGTCAATCTCTCCAGTTCTGTGGGTAAGTGTCGGTAGTGAGGTTTATGTAAGTTCTTTTATTTTTTTGCTGTATGGGCCTTTTGATTGGTGTAGATGATGGGAACTTGTGCATGATGTTTCCGGGGAGGCTGTGCTCGCACCTATGCATCCCAACCGGTGTGAATTCCTTCCGATGCGATTGCCCGTTGGGTCACCAGTTGGGGCAGGACCAGAGGACCTGCTATCCGGAGGACCCTTCTGCCAGGCAAGTCCCATTCCTAAGTGGCCATTGTGGGCCCGGTCTCTCTGATGAGTTTGCAGGTGACCTGTGCAGGTGCGAGAGGGAGAACCCTTGCGAGCAAATCTGCCAAGATGCTCCTGATTCGGGGATTCAATGTCTCTGCAATCCCGGCTACCAGCTTGCAGACGACCGCATCTCGTGCCTAGGTATCCGTTGTGAAGTCCACAATTTTTTCTAGTTTGCCAGACTCAGCAACAAGCTAAGATCTCAGCAACGAATTGCTGCAGCGCTTCTTCTTCAGAGCTGGGTCGATTCATGTCCGCTTGACAATTGTCAAGTCGAAATTTACTATACCGTTGACAGACGTGGACGAGTGCGTGGTTGGCGTAGACGTGTGCGGAAGCCTGGGCCAGGCGTGCATGAACACCCCGGGCAGTTACTTGTGCCTCCTCGCAGATGGCAGTTCCGTCGCTCCTCAGGAAGCCTTGGGCCTTCCGACTCCCTCCTATGACGGTGAGTCTCGCATCTGCTTCTGGTTTTTATGCCGCTGGATCTTCGCTGCGGCAAGCCGATATGCTTCGAGAATCTTTCGGGTGAGAGTGTAGTGCTAGTAATTTGAAAACTGCATCCGTCTTGCATTGCAGAATAATGTGATTTGCAGATGAATTCTCCCCACTATTAACGTTAGCTCCACAGGCCTATCTTGGTCTATCACCATAATTGGGGATGCACCGCAGAGAGTTGCACAATGTAAAAAGTGATAGGAATCACTGGATTTTCATACTATTTTCATATCGTGAGACTAAGCCCAACAGATTCGAAAATGGTTTTAGTTTCCTGTGAAACGCAGGTTTCGATAAGTTTTTCCTATAGTCTTGGGAAAAGCGCAATTTTATATTTCGGATAATGAGCCCATGATGTTTTGACGCAGATTTCGGACAGAATCTGGATTGTCCTGCCGGTTTCTCCTACGATCCCAATTCCATGACATGCCAAGGTGAGCCCCAAAATTTATACCAGAAAGTGAAGTTAGAAAAAATGCAGGGTGTCTAGGAATCGGGAGTACATAGGGAAATAACCGCGTGAAATGACGAATGCGTTGACATCGAACTATTCTTACAAATTAAGCGAAACTGGCAATGTTGCCGACAAGCCACGCATGGGACACTCCAAAAACAGCAACAGGACTTGAGGAACCAGCCGAATTCATTGGAACTAGCACGAAACTCAGTTCATGGAAGATTACTCGGACAGACGGAGTGAATTTTGCAGTGTGATGGAAATAGTGAATTCGCATTAGAATTCAACGATTCTAACGCTAATTCATTCGGGTATTGCATTCAACGGTGCCCACTTCGAACACCCGATCTGAATGACAATTGACTGGAGTACTAGTTTAGCAACAAATTACTTTTACGCTTTTAAGTAATATGGGGTCAAATGAAGCAAGAATTTTCTATTCCAAAAGCATATCTTATTTCTCAATATGATTCCCCTATTTACTCAGAATTCTTAAACACCCACTATGTATTGTATACTGTATAAATAATTTTAAAAGAAATAGAGTTCAAAAAGTAAAATTGAATTTGTAGCATAATTTGAAAAATGTGTATTTCAGACGTGGACGAGTGCGTGATGAGACCTGGTCAACTCCAAGTTTGTGGGTCTGGTTTTCAGTGTCAGAACACAGTGGGAAGTTTCTCATGTGTCTTGCCCGAAGAGTGCCCCGAGGGATACGTGGAATCCTCTCTCGATTCTTCCTGCCTCGGTGAGGTCTTTTCGCGTCACCGAGTAAAAAGAAGGCCGGACCGAATTTCTTCCTTCGTTTTAATTAGTCTGTAATGCTGAACGTCATCGACGGTAATTGAGCCCCGTTGCAAATGCAGACGTTGTTGAACGCGCTGTCGGAGGAAAACCCTACCTCGGTTGTCATAACCGAGTTAGGATTTTCCTCCGATCGTCCTCTCATTCGGGAAAAATTATAGAACAGACATGGGGCGTATTTCTTTGCTCTCTGCAGCAGCTCTCCGGAAGACAGGGTGCATGCGTGCACGTTACGGGAGAGCAGAGAGAAAAAAAAAGGATCATACCTGAATGCTCTCCGAGGGCAACGCCATGACGCTACACTCCGTTCTCTATTAAGTCCATAAATTATTAACGTCGAGAATGCAAGAGGTTCAAAGAGGCTTTGCTTATAAGGGCATTTAGAGGTGATAAGATTAGCTTCATGCATGGATGTCCGTGTTGATCCTTTTGCGATCTGTGCCGGTAATCGATGTGGGTTTTCCTCGTTGGCCCTCGTGAAGACGTGGATGAGTGCGAGGCGGGGTCGGACGACTGCGACCGGGAAACGGAATCCTGCTTGAATATGGAAGGGTCCTTCACGTGTCTACCGAGGGGAATCACTCAATGCCCTGCTGGATATTCCTGGGATGAAACCAAAGAAAACTGTCGAGGTGCTTTTTGACTTCCCTAAATATGTATGATATTCATTTTAAATGTTTATGAATATAACAAGTATTTAACATTTTGATATTTTTAACTATCGTTATCCTCCGCTAAGCATTTTTGAAAAAAGTCATTTCTGGTCTCGATCATCACTCATCGATGGGTGTGGGATTTGTGCAGATGTGGATGAGTGTAGGGAAGGAGATGGAGATTGCGAGGAGGGTGAAGTGTGCAGGAATACTCTTGGTGGTTATGAATGTGACCCCGGGTGTATGCCTGGATTCCGGATCCATCCCCAACTGAAGATCTGTGTAGGTACGACTCCCTGTGCCTTTGTGGAGAGGTGATTTGTGAATGTGAGACGGCAGTTGTGCGGAAAGATATGTGATGCTGGGGTTGTCGATCGCGTAGGTAGACATAGACGAATGTCGGAGAGAGGAGATGCATAACTGCTCTCACCTCCTGGGGGAGAAGTGCGTGAATACTCTGGGGTCCTTCACTTGTGAACGGGCTGCGTCCGCGTGCTCAGTCGGCTACGAATTCAACGAGACTCGACTGCAATGCCAGGGTAAGGAGGCCTCGTTACCTAGGAGACTAGATTCACCTCATCCCATTCCAGAAATGATTTGGGTTCATTCTGAGAAACGAACGTATCTCGACGGCAATGAGGCATGCATCCAAATGTCACGCTTTTGAGGTCCACATATTCGGTAGAGATGGTGTTAGTACTGCAGTTCTGCCGTAATGACTCAGTGTGGCCCTAGTTCTACTGGATCTCCATAGACGGGGCTAGTGGTGTGTTTTTATTCCACAACCCCTCCAGAGATGGCGCTAGTCCACCATCTCATTTCTCAGATTCCTCCAGGGATGGCAAGCATCTCTTCAGATGATACGACTCGGTTCCTCTTCCCCTGTTCTCATCTATTAATACATATTGTGCCCAGTTGAAATGTGATTTCGAAAAGCGGAATAGAAACCCATAAATTTTACTCCTATGCCAACACACAAAAACCTATCAGATAACTTTCTGGGGGCTCTGACGAGAGGCAAGCGATCCTTCTTGGGGAGAGATGATGGGGGAATGGAATTCCTTCTTATATACTGCAATGCTTCTAAGCCCCCAGTTGGACGAGTTGAATTTGCCTTCCCTTCCACCTTTCTTCTCCCCTCTCGTTCCAGTTACATATCTCACCTCCGACCCGTTTCCAGCATCTGCTTCATATAAATACGGGGGAAAACAATTGTCACTCAACTTCATAAATTCGTTTCTACTGAGCCTATTCATGCATTAAAAAATGCGCGCAGTAATACTCATGGATACCCACGTCATGCATGAGGCTGCATGAAGGACTTCATTTTACTTTCCACATTCCCAATAGTCCTTTCCACAATCAGCATGGATGAGATCAAGCTTTGGAACAATGGTACTCAAACGTTTTTGAACGGGGAAGGGGGGGGGGGGTGGGCCGCACTGAGAAAAGGCTTTCTGACATTAAGAAAAATAAAACTGTTACTGCATAATACGTTTCATCTTCGAGGGCCACATCCGGCTCCAGTACCACTCTGAGCGTTTCCACACAAGGCACGAAGAAACCTCCGCCCGTTGAAGTTTATTCACTTCTCATTCCAAACATTTCTTTTTATTCTCTCGTGCAGACGTGGACGAATGTTTGGAAGGAGCATGCGGCGTCGGGGAGGAATGCGTGAACACGCCCGGGAGCTTCCGATGCCAGGCCCGCGTCTCCTGCGAGCCCGGCTTCAAACTCCAGCCCAGGACCCGGCGGTGTCTCGGTCGGTCTCGTTTAATCGAGCGGTCACCGGGGCCAAGGTTCCATCGTTCAAAGTCAAATTGGGTTGTTTAGACATCGATGAGTGCGCGGACGGGAGCCACGACTGCCCGAGAGACCGGACGGAATGCGTGAACACGTACGGCGGATACGAATGCAAGGTCCTCTGCCTTCCCGGGTATCGGCCTTCCCCTGCCACCACCAATCAGTCCGCTTCAACCTGCATCGGTGAGTTCTTTAGGGGACTTCACAGGAGTGAGGTTGTGAAGGAAAATTGTTCAGGGATCCATTGTTTCATTTCTCGGACGCGAAATGGGAACCTTTCCACTGTTGGGTACCAACAACTGTTGGGTTCCAAGTTGGGTACTCTGTTCTGTGGGAAGAGGCTCCAATTTAGTCTTTTTTTCTCACAAGAAGTCCCATGGAATTGGATTTTCCAATGGAATGATTCCAGATTCGTTTGGATTTTGAATTGAATTATGAAATAGGCTGCAGATGTTTTGGAATTGGAATGGTGGGGAAAGGCAAATTCTGTTGAATTATGTGGACATTAAACTGCCGGGTACCATATTCGAATATGAAATTTTGAATGGGAATGGAATCGTTCTCCGGCGATTTCTTCGCCAGCTCGCCTCTGTCTACGAGGAAGAATGCCAAAATTCAGTGGTATAAAGGACACAAAAGACACAAAAGCTTCCATCGAGTCCTTTGATGGGAGAATTTCTGACTTTGTACTGAAAATACTCAAAATGTGTGTAAATGCGGAATGTAAAATAACCATTTGTGCTGGCCATGTCAAGAACATGTCTTTTTCAAATGATATTTTTGCTGGAAAGTTCGAAAAAGCTCTTGAGAAATCAGTCGTTTACTCGAAGCCAAAATACAGTATAGTGATAGAATAGTCATGAGTTTCAGCTTGCGGAGTTGTTTTGAAAGAATGGAATCAGTTTCCATCACCGATGAGGATATCGACTCGGGAGGCTTGGTGTATATATAAAAAGTTACTCTGTTGACAGAGGTATTTCCAATGCACAACAAAGAATTTTTCGCAATTTTTCGATATGACAGAGTTTGTCATTTTAGTGGTTTCTTTTCCTACATTGTATTTATATGGGGATTCAGGATATAGAGAACTTCATTGAGTTAAAGTTCGATATGAGGAGATTTTCTTGCAAATTTTTCGACTTGCTTTCGACTAAGTGGGATAACCATAGTGGAGGAAACTACCTCAACTCATTTGCTTTCAGAGGTACAGGTTTTATTTTATGCTTCAACCCACACAACTCCATGGAGAACCCACAAACCTAAACACACTCCCTGGTGATTGGGTCGTAGAGGAATCCATTTGGGCATATAGGCAGGTTTTTTCGTCCTTCGTCGCCGTCCCAGATTCAATGGCGAGATTGAGTCATAAGCGGCGTGAAATTTAGCATGAGAGATGCTAGGATGGTTGCAACGATCCCCGGTCAGATTTCGATGCTCATGCGAGTTCCGCTTCTCTCCCCATCCGGATCAGACGTGGACGAATGCGCAGAAGGGACGGACCTCTGCCTGGAAAGCGAGGAGTGCGTCAACACGGATGGAAGCTACCGCTGCGAGTCCGACGTCGACGACGGGGAACCAGAGGTGAAGGGCAGCAGAGAAGGGGACGGCGACGAAGGACGAGAAAACCTGCCTAGATGCCCGAATGGATTCCTCTACGACCCAATCACCAGGGAGTGTCGAGGTTCGTGGGTTCTCCGTGGAGTTGTGTGGGTTGTGGAGTGCCGTGGGATGAGGGAATAACTCCTTCTCTTAGACGTGAACGAGTGCTTGGGAGAGGATCCGTGTAAGGGAGGGAATTCCTCCTGCATCAATCTTCCGGGGGGATATCGGTGCGACTGTCCCGTTGGATTCCAGTTCAACATCCGGACCAAGGACTGCCAGGGTATCTGCTATTAAGTAACTGGGTGGAGGAAGTGGAAGGGAAGTCATGAGTCGTTTTCTCGTGCTTACAGACGTGAACGAGTGTCAGCTGGAATTGCACAACTGCCAGACAACACAGCGCTGCGATAACACGATCGGCTCCTTCACGTGCATCCGGATGACCGGCTGTGGCACCGGCTACACTCTCAATGCGCATACTGGACTCTGCGAAGGTAATTCATTTTAACTCGATACATCTTCGGAGCGAGTGATGACAACGCCACGATCCCTAGACGACGACGAATGCGAACTGGGGACGTCTAAGTGCAAGGAACTGGGCCCGGACTGGGAGTGCGAGAACACGCAGGGAAGCTTCAGATGCATCAAGTCCTGCCCCCCCGGAGAAGAGACGAACGAACGAACCAACCGTTGCGAACCGCTTCGTCGGACCCCTCCACCCCCTTCCTGCCCCTCGGGCTACCAGACAGGACCTAAAGGCTCCTGCATTGGTACGAAAACGAGTGCCCTCCCCCCCCCCCTCCTTCGCATCCACTAAACCCCTTCTCCCTTGCAGACGTCGACGAATGCGTAGAGAAGCCTTGTGAGGAGAGGGAGAGATGTGTTAATTCCCCCGGTTCCTACACGTGCGTCAACCTGCTTCAATGCGAACCGGGATTTAGAGCCGACTCCAGCCGCTCCAGATGCATCGGTCTCTTTTCTTTTCACTGTCAGAAGGGGGAGGGTGATGAGTTTTGGAAGGTCTCCATTTTCCTTGAAAATGTCTGCAGGGGTTAAGAAGTGTGTCGTTCTCAGTTTCGAGACCCTGAAATCCATTAATTTCTATCCGATGTAGACTTGCATTTCACCTCGATGCATATTCTATCGTCTTGGGTGCAAAAATCTAGATCCTCAGGTTTACTACACATACATACATTTTTCGTAACCAGCTAGTTTGTTGTAGGTTTTCGTATGAATGCTGGGTTCTGGTATGCTGTCGGTCATGCTCTCATCTGCTTTCTAATGAATTTAGCTATGAGGAACCATCAGTCCAAGGTGCTTTTTCATGCAGTATTTGAATGAGTGTAAATTCTTCTCGAAATCGTATCTAAGCGTCTCGCCTAGAAGCAGGCTTGAAGAAATGTACAGGGTATGGCAAAAAAATGTGACCAACGACTTGTGACCTAAGTATTTCCGCTCACACTAGAGCTATTTTCGTGAAACTTTCACCTTGCATATATGAGTATGTTTCCAACTGATACTTAAAATTTCACTTAAAGTTGCTGTGCAAAAGCAATAATATCAGCACCCATTGCAAAGAAGTTAGACATTGAGAATGGACAAGAGCTCCTGCTGGTAGTGAAGTGGAGGGCGAGGGCTGTTCCCCTTGGTCATCCAGACCACATCGAACTCCTCTTCCTTTTGAAGTCATTCATGGTGCTGACTGTCTCTTGCAGGTGGTTTTCATGAGCTTATTCCCAATGAATAGCAGATGAATCAATGAATATCAATCCAGAGAGTTTACTCAACGTCCATTTAGAATTTCCCTTGTTTTACGTCATTCTGAGTCTGCAAAGTATAACGAAAAAGACCAATAACTTTGTATCACACGATTGCTTTAGTCATATCCTACCAAATTTGCTGAAGACGTTGCACTTTTTCATTTATTTTAAAGTCAACAAAGCTGCAAAATCCATTAATTCAGATCAAAGTTATGAACAATATATATGACAAGTCTGACATTTGAAATGGAGAGTTCCTTTAAATAAAAAAAAACGAAGAGAAATTCCTAATGAACTTTGAGAAAACTCTCTGGATTAATATTCATTGATGCGAAGATCATGAAAACCATCTGCAGGAGACAACCAGACAAATGAATGAATTTACACGGAGAAGGAGAAGGAGGAGGAGTGGTCTCGATGACACTGCTCGAGCGTTTCCTCCGCTTCACTACCAGCAGAAGCCCTAGTACATTCGCAATGTCAAACTTCCTTTCGATATTTGCAGATAGAATTGCTCTGGGACAACATATTTGCGTAAAATTTCAAGTTTCGGTTGGAAAAATACTCATATATTCAAAGCGAAAGTTTCACGAAGATAGCTCCAGGGTGATCGGAAATACTTAAGTCAAAACACATTGGCCTTTTTTTTTTTGCTATACCCTGTGCATGATGATGTCATGAACTGCCTTTGCGTGATGCATCTGGTTTGTTAGACGTGGACGAATGCGGCGAGGGACTCCACGACTGCGGGGGGGAGCAGACGTGTCGGAACAGGGTCGGGGGGTACGTGTGCGAGTGCCCAGTCGGATACGCCCTGGACGACAGGGACGGGAGGGGACGGAGCTGTAGGGACGTGGACGAGTGCAGTCTGTATCGGGGACAGGTGTGTTCGGGGCTCAACTCCAACTGCGTCAATCTGCCGGGGTCGTATCGGTGTACGTGCGATGTGGGCTTCGCTAGTTCGCCGGATCAGCGCTCGTGTCTCGGTCTGTGGCTTTTCTCTCTCGGCTGAGGGTGGTTGCGGGTGGAGATGTTGAGGGGAGAAATGTGGGGTGTTGAAGATGTGGACGAGTGCAAGGAGACGCCGGGGATCTGTCGTCACAACTGCGTCAATACCTGGGGGTCGTTCCAATGTTCGTGTCGGCGGGGGTTCGTGTTGAGCAACGATGGCAGGTTCGGTATACCGCGACTGCCGTCCGTCTTTCCTTGTATTCTATTAGACCTTACTATATTGTTGCTGACTCTTTGCAGGTCTTGCAACGACATCGACGAATGTTCGGGACGAGGCGGAGACCGCCTGTGCGTCGGAATCTGCATGAACGAGCCCGGCAGCTACTCGTGCATGTGCCCCGAAGGGTACAGGCTGGAGGCCGATGGCAGGCACTGCAAAGGTGATCCCATTCGTCTCTCGCATCTTCTTCGCTTCGAGAAGGGTTTCGATGAGATCTAGTTTTGTGTGATGGGTGAGGGGAGCAGACGTGGACGAGTGCGCAGAGGATCCGTGCGGAGGGGTCGGGGTCGCTTGCGTGAACGTGGGTGGAGGATACCGGTGTGCCAGCATCACCTGTCCCCCCGGTTACGACCTGGATGCCCCGGCCAAGAAGTCAGTCTTTTCTACTCGAACCTCTACTTGCCTAATTACTTTCGTTAGAGGGCTTTCAGGTGTTTTTGAGAATTTTCATGGAAGTGGACTGGGGCGGATAGAAAGATGATGCGATGGGCGGGTTGTAGTGGTGATGCCCTGTATGTCCCTGATGGGATTTTCACAACTTTGCATCACTCTTTGGGGAAATTGCGAAATCGTCTCATGCAATATTGTATGAGATCATTTCAAGATGATTTATAAGATGATTCATGCAATCTACATGGATGCGGCCAGGGAATGGCACATCCATTGCGGCTCTTTCAGCCGCCAATGTCAATGCAAAAACATTCAAGTAACCGCATAAAATGATTTAAAGGATTTTGGTAGAGTTGCTACTTTTTCTTTCCCTATTCATTTCTTTACAGTATAATATTATTTGTTTCTCATCGCTTTACAATGCTGTCGCCTCGTTTTCCGAGAACTAGAACAGGTGAAAGATCACAATAAGTAAAAACATCATTTCTTCGCCTAGCTCGTTCTCCCGTTGCAATCATGACTCGAACATAAAGTTCTCGATGACGTCTAGATGATTCCCAGGGAACGAAAATTCACGTGCTGTCCAGCTGGTGGCTGCTGCTAATCCTTTTTTCGTGTAAATCAGATTAATTGTTTTTAGCGGGCCTCCTTCCCTGAATGGAAAGAGGCCACTTATGCTCCCGTCCTGTCCGTCCGTGTGTCCGTGTGTCACACTTTAATTGTCCGACGATAACTAAGAAAATATTGGCCTGATTAATGCGAAAATTGGCAACTGGGTAGATATGACCAGGATACAGGCTGAGATCGTTTTGTGGCGAATTCGCACCAAAATTGGCATTTTTATTGCAAACTTTGAATTTGAAATTTAGCCCCGGAGGGGAAGGCGTGAGTACCCGGTCGCCCTTCAGATTCTGGACCACAATGCGCATGCGAATACGACCCAGGCTTTGGGCGCGGCGCCGTGTCAGCAACTAGAGCTGTCAGTTCCCTCCCAACCTTCGTGACGGATGGTTCCAACCACGCACAGCCCTCCATCCTCCCATCATTGTTTCATGGGCACCGTTTGTCTATGTTTACCAAATATAAATGAGAAATGAGGTTTTTGATGGTCGAAGACCGGAAAGAAATGGCACTTAGTTCAATTAGGTGACAAAATGAGGGTTTCTTTAGCTGAAAGGAGGCCCACTACTGGATTGGGCTTGCCCAACTTGTTTAATCTGGAAACGGAATGCCTTCTGAATCGTGAGTCTCATAACGCAGATGCAAACGACGGAACACCCGCTGCATCGCGACGGACATAACCTGCATCCGCCAGCCCCTCAGCTACTCGCACTATTACATCTCCCTGCCGAGCAACGTGGAGTTCATGCAGGGAGGGAGCCACACGGATCTCTTCATGATGAGGGGTGCGTCTGCTCCGGGGATCCAGATCCAGTTCACTCTGGATCATAAGTCGTCCAGGGCTCCTTCCTCGGTCGCCCCGGCATCCAGGTGACTTGATTTCTTTATTTAGACAAAAAGAAGAAGTGAACAGTTTTTTGTGACAATAATAGGAACAGGGTTAATGCGAATGGGATGAGTGCATTTCACAATTCATGCCATTCTGGTGTATCAGAAAAATTATTAAAGAAATGGGAACGTCTGCATTAAATTCGGGAATTATGAAACTTGCAATTGTCGAGGTTTTCAATTCGAAGGTAGCGGCAGTAACGAGGAATTATCTTCAGCCAGTTAGTCTCCGGTAGGAGCATGTGGGAAAAGGGGGCATTTTCTTTACTTCTGAGTCTCTCAATCACTCAGAGTTCCCACCCCATTTTCAGGAACAACTTCAAGCTGAGACACTTGACGGAGACGGAGGCGGGGATCTTGCTGGTTCGGTCCATCGAAGGCCCCCAAGACGTGGAGCTTCAACTCACGATGGACATGATCCAGAGCGGCAGATACGTCGGTTCGCACATCGCACGCGTCTTCATCTACGTCAGCCGTTACGAGTTCTGAGCCGAGCTGCGGGCCGGACGGATCCACGCGTAAAGAATCTAGTCATGGATTTCCTTGGACTCGAGTGCGAACGAGCCGCCTTCTTCAATAGTAGTTGTGTGTGTTTGTGTGCGTTTAATTTTTTTTTGTTGTTTTCAATCGGCTTATCGTCCTCGTTGACACCCGAGAGGTGGCCTCACGAGTCATGTTTTCCCATTCCCCTCGTTTGTCGTTTGCTCGCAGGGTTCACCGGTTATTAATCGTGTTTTTTCTAGAATAAAGCATTCGAGAGGGCGATTGGTGAAATATGTATGATATTCACGATAATACAAGAACAGGTATTTCCTTCAGGTTGCAAACTAAGGTGATGAAAGGGCTGTGAGTACCAAGAACGAGTTGAAATTCCTCCGAAATTAGCACTGATCAATTTCCCTGTCGAAACTGGGTTTGGATCTGGAAAACTATGAACTGATCGGAAACGAACGACTGATCTAAAAACTAATTTGCTGATTATAGAGACAATCGTGCATTTTTGAGCAAGAAGAGTGAGTTATGAAACCATAAGCAATGATGAGAGATGATGACCTGATAACCGGAATTGGGTTAATATTGAGGATGAAAGGTGAACGAAGAAGAAGCAAATTCGCAGTGGAGCACATCGTTTGTAAAGTTTATCTTGATCATCTCAGGGGTAAATCGCCCTACACTAGGATGGGCTCGATTTCAATCATTTTAATTTTTTATATTTTGATTTTTATCGTTTTGAGCCGTTTATGTTCGCGGTTACAAAGAGTTTACGTTTGCTGAAAGATCGAGAAAGAGAGAGAAAGAGAAAGAGATGCGAATGAATTAGCACATTTGAGTTTTTGTTGCATCTGATTTACTCGACGTGAATTTGATTTGCTCGCCTAACCTCTTCTTGGAGTGCAAGTTCCATCGAGGTTCATATGCGAACAAAATAACATGGAATTCACAGCTTCTTCAGTGTCAGTGTCAGTGTCATGTACAGTAGATCCGTATATGACACTGACATCACTCTTCGTGATGTCAGTGTCAGTACTTGCAGTCGGTGCGGAGATGTCGGTACATTTGCTGTTTTATTTTTCCCCCGAAGTACTAACAACACCATGTGATCCCTACAGAGATGGCGTCTGTCCAGTTCCACAACTCCTCTAGATATGGCGGTAGTCCAGTGCGTCAGTTACTTTATTGCTGCAGAGATTTCGCTAGTACGGCACATCAGTTCTCGATTCTCTGCCGAGATGGCACTAGTCTGTCGGTTCAGTTCCCTTATACCTTTAGATATGGCGCTAGTTCTGCACTGCATGATCTCTCTAATGATGCAGCTGCTCGTTCTCTATTCTTTCTCCTCACTTCCAGATGGTGCATAGAAGCAATGGGATTTCGGAACTCCTCATATATAGTGTCTTCCAATACAGAAGAATATGTCACAAGGTCTAACGTACAAAATAACTGCTAATGATGAGCAGCTGAAAACTCAAATTGTGCAGGCTTCGAAACGACATGACGCAAACAATCCTTCGAGTATAGAATGAGTGTATAATGGTATAATGAGTATAGAATGGAAATTCTTCTTATAAGCTGGAAGCCAGCCCTCCAGTTTGACAAGTTAATTCTGCCTTCCCCTTCCACCTCTCTCCTCCCCTCCCGTTCTATTAATAGATACACGACTCACTTCCGACCGATTTCCTGGCATATTCTTCACAAAAGAAAAAGTAGGCATTGCTCAACTTCTCATACGTAGTATTACTTTCCACTGAACCTATCCATCCTTATTAGTGGGCCTCCTTTCCTGAAAGGAAAGAGGCCATTTATGGTCCCGTCCTGTCCGTCCGTGTGTCAGTGTGTCCGTGTGTCACACTTTGGTTGTCCGACGATAACTATGAACCAATGCGAAAATTGGCAAGCAGGTAGATATGAAAAAGATACAGGCTGAGTTCGCTTCGTGGTGAATTTGCACTAAAATTGGCATTTTTATTGCACATTTTGGATTTGGAATTCGCTAGCGGAAGGGAAGGCCTGAGTACCATGAGCCCTTCAGGATATGGATCACAATGCGCATGCGCATACGACCCTGGTCTTGGGCGCAGTGCCGTGTCAGCAACCAGAGCTGTCAGTTCCCTCCCAACCTTCGTGACGGATGGTTCCAACCACGCACAACCCTCCATCCTCCCATCATCATTTCATGGACATTAAGGGTAATTTTCAAACGTAACTGAAAAATGATGCTTTAGATGGCCGAAGACCGGAAAGAGTTGGCATTTTGTTCAATTAGGTGTCAAAATGCGGGTCTGCTAAAATGAAAGGAGGCCCACTACTGGACTGGGCTTGCCCATCTTGTTTCTCCATGTGAACGACAACACCCATGGAAACCCTTGTCGTTTGCATGCATAGGAGAGCATGAAGGGTTAACTTTACTTTCCACATTCCCAATTCCCTATTTAAGAATCCAGTGCCCTGAAAAGTATCAAACCTTTAAACACATAACGAACACATTACACACATCGTTCAAGAAGCAAAAAGAGTCTACATTCTCACGCATTAAATTTGTATTTTAACCACTCCTTTGCCGATATTTCCTTGCCTTCCCAGATTCTAACTCCATTTCTACGAGGAAATGAATCGGGGCTAATTTTCGCAGGAATTACGACACTTCGCACTCAGTCTTATAACTTCTTATTAAAATCTGGGGAGAAATCCTGTTACTGTGTTGTCATCCGTTTAATATGCATTTCTTCCATCGCAATCTCAAGTGCTTTATTTCTAGGAAACACACGATTAGGAACGGGTAAACCCAGGGAACACACAAATGAGGGGAGCAGAAAAAACGTGACTCTCGTGAGACCACCTCTCGGGGATCCTCCAGGACAGAACTACTGCTTGATGAGGTGACTCGTTTGTAGCCGTATCCGAGGAAATCCATGACTAGATTCTTTGCAGGTGGGTCAGTTCGGCCGGCAGCTCGGATCAGAACTCGTAACGGCTGACGAAGACGAAGATGCGTGCGACGTGAGAACCGACGTATCTGCCGCCCTGGATCATGTCCATCGTGAGTTGAAGCTCCACGTCTTGAGGGCCTTCAATGGACCGAACCAGCAAGATCCCCGCTTCCATCTCCGTCAAGGGTCTCAGATTGAAGTTGTTCCTGTAAGGGGGTGGAGAGCCAGAGTGACTCGGAGACTCAAAGGGAGAGAAAATGTCCCCAGTTCCCCCCCCCCCCCCCCCCCCCCCCCCCCCCCCCCCCCCCCCCCCCCCC